GAGAGTCTTTATCCCCACTGAACAAACTCTCTTTGACATGTTCTTACCTATTGCTACTATATTTCTTCCTTTACCCCCTCCCCCCCTTTTTTTTTCTCTTTTTCTTCTTATTAATATATTTAACAACATAAGTTATACTACATTGTTACCTTGACTCTTTCTCTCCCTCTTTATTTGAAGACAGTAATACTGTACATACATTTCCCCGATATTCTGTTGTCAATATGCTGTCTATTGCCTACAATTATTGTCTTTACCTTTATGTTTTGATACCAATAAAAAGTTTGAACAAGAAAAGATGTCCAGCATTCTCCAAGATTCCCAACCGAGATTCCTTAAGGTTTGGGAACCTTGGATAAATTCCTTTCCATCCTTACCTCCCACTAGTTATGGCCTCCTATAGTTGTTGCCCGTGCGGGGCCTGGATCAGTGATTTTTTTTTTCTCCTGATTTTTTCTCCCTGTTTCTCTCCAATTTCCTATGACTCTCTTTTTTTTAATTTTAGGTCTCTCTTTTATTTTTTTCGAGTTGATACTTCTCGGTAGTGCTTTTTGCCTTAGAATGGACGGCGGAATGCTGTTGATATTGTTTGGTTTTTATTTTTCTGCCATTCCCCTTTGGTGCTGGTTGGCATTGTGCTGACTGGTTAATGCATGCTTTTGTATGGTTTTGATCATCTCTGCCCCTGCGTGGGCATATAATGAGCCTGTTATATATTTCAAAAACTCTTTCTAATAAAAATATTGAAAAGGAAAAGCTTCTGGTTCACAGTTTTTAGACTGATTTCTCATGTAACAGGTATTATTTTGACAAAACATCCAGAGTTAGCAATCCTCACCATTGGTCTAGACCACATTCATAAACAACTCCACAATATAACAATGCAGATAATTTTTACAGCCCACATATGCATAATGAGAAAATGGAAGTCTGCTGAAACACCTAGTGTATCTGAAGTGATCGCACAGGTGCATGTAGCTTATGGATACAAACAAATAAAGACATATAAAAGTGATAAAGGAGCACATTGTTTAGAGAACTGGAAGTTGCGGCACCTATAGAAAGTTAGATGTTTGAGTTTTTATGATTATTTACTGTTAGTATTTTATTGGAAACCTGTCTCTTGTCAGCTTGTTCATGGATAAGATGTACTCTTATGGTACTGACGTCTTGCATTAAGTATATGTACCCACACTCATTGCATATTTCTTTGTAATAAGGTGAAAATAGCAATATTTGAAGAAAAAAAAAAAGAAATGGCATTCATGTACCACACTGTGGTCTTGTAATGATACTACCATACCCATGTTTTATTGAATAACATCAGCCTTTCCTGTGAAATGTGAATTAATTTCTCCATTTCCATTAACATATTTCAGCACTTAAATTAATGCTCCAGTTCTGGGGTATGTTTTTGTCTCCAGAACAGTGGTTTGCAAATATGTGCTGTGTTTATGTGTCTGTGTTGTGCATAGACAGTGATTTGTGATAGGAGTGTTTCATGACTGTAGAATGATGCGGTAAGTATTATAGCGGGGAAAAGCCTAAGGGGTAAGTAGGGACTTTAACAAAAATATCATAGATGCTAGTCTGACATGGTTGCAGAGCAGGGCATTGCCATCATATATGGAGCACTGATCCTTCTTCTAGATTGCATCTCCAGCAGCACTCTGACACTTGTGGGAAAAGTTTGTGTAGGAGCGGTGGCATTCTGTACCACCGAGAGTATAATTTATAACTGTGCTCTTGAATGGTGACATTCAGGGAACCTCTATGTATGGTATTGCAAACACTTTCCCAGTCATGTTCAGTCAGGGAAATGCCTCATTCATTTTTGGTGGAATGTTTTTAACCTTCATGAGGGTATACCACCTGGTAGCCTACCAGACTTAAGAGTTACTGCCTCTCAATCTTCATGCAATCAGGTTTAGCTTTTCTGGAAGCAGGAATTGTGATGACATTATCACAATCATGACCCCTTGAAACCAAGCTACCCCTTCAAAGGAACTCCTTGCACTGATAGATCCCAAACGTGAGCACTGCAGCCCCAATGGCTGATATCTGAGATGAGAATTTCAGTTTTCTCTGGCACAATGGATTATTATTTGAACAAATTTGATTCATGTATCCACTATGACAGCTATGTGAGATTCTGATCAGTAGTTGTAGATCTCTTGTGTTTCAGATCACTCAAAGAACTTGATCTAGAATCCCTTCATTCTCCAATGGGCCCATCTGATCATGAATATTGAAGAGGAGAGGGTGCTAAGATTCAGGTATTTGGGTACATACATACACTGATAAGACATGACTGCTCAGATCTTGTTTTGTATATTCATGATTTTCTCCTCCGGCAACTGATGCATGCACAGTAGCATCCAGAAGGCTTGGCCATCATCTTGAAGGACTATTCCTCAATGCAAAGAATGACAGCCCTTGATGGTGTTGTGCATGCATACTAAGGCCATTAGGCTCAGGCACTAGAAGGGCAATAGTCCTCATCATTGACAAGGTACTCAAAAGCAAAGTGGGGGCACTGCTGTTATGCAGGAAAACACAGAGTGGAGAGAAGAAAAGAAAACTGGTTGAAATTGTCAAGAATCAGAAAATGCTGTTTAAGCATTGTATTCAAAATGTCTTGAAGCACAGAAAACAGGACACACTAATGGATGCCTCCTGTCAGGGATCCCCTCGATCCCTGCCGCGATGGTCCCGGCGCAGGCGCACTGCTCCTCCCCCTGTGCAGGGACACGGGCACTAGGTCCGGCCCGGCCGCGGCGTTCGAGTTCGCGCGCATGCGCAGTAGAAGCCGCGGCCACCCGCTGGGCACCAATGGCAGTGCAGGGCGGGATATTTAAATGTCCCTGAGCTGTCATTTCGTTGCCTTCTGGTCTTACCTGCTTCCTGTGATTCTGAACCTGTGCCTTGTAAGTTATTTGACCCGGATTGTTCTTGACCTGCTGATTTCTCCTGCCCAGACCCTTGCTTTGCCTGACCTCTCTCCCTGGATGCCCCTCATTAGATCTGACCTACTGTTGCTGACCTGGTGTGTGACCCGACGATTCTCTGCCTGCTCCCTTGTACCTTACCGTCCTCTACGTTACCAACTCAGCCTGTCTGACTTCGCACTTGCTCAGCCATCCATCCATCCCATCGGGGTCACCCGACCTCCTCACATCTGGCTCTCCCTGGTTGGAGCCCCTGGCGAACACCCCTACCACTGACAGGTGTGCTCAGTAGTGGCGACCTGGTCCCGGGGTACTACAAGTCCATCCCCACCATCAGGGGCCCTGGTGAACAAGTGCCCTGGGGCTTAGACTCCACGCTCTGGGCACGCCTGACCAGTGGAGTGCTAGTGGTGCCGCTCGGCGGTCCCTTACACCTCCATTAGAGTTTTATGAGACAGGTACTTTAGACCAAGAGAAAATTAGATTGGCTGACAAACCACAAGAAGACTGTATGATGAAAAACGTAATCATGTTTAGTAAAAAACAAATAATCTATCCATGGCAAGGACAGAGAAAAGACTAAGTTGTGATGTGGTTGAGGCACATTTGTAGATAACCTGTCCATTTGGGTTAAGAGGTGGGACATTAATCCATGTTATGCTGCCATGATGCACCAGAAAATTGTAGTGATTCTGTGTAAAACAACTTTCTGATGGGGTCTGATAATTTTCATGATTCAATACTTTATATTCATAAGAATTTTTCTCACATGTAAATGCATGCAAAATTAAGTGAATGTGCTTGTTTATTCCTCCTTAAAAGCAAACATACTAATAAAATATGTGGTTAGAGATGAAATGTTATCTGTTTTTCATAGTGACATGTGTTTGTATGTTTTTTTCATAAACACAAGGTTATATTTTTATTTTATGCATAATAAATTATGCTTCCCCAGCTAGCATACAGCAAGCTGTACTTTTTTGCATGCAAGTTTTTCCAGACTGTAGACAAGTATATAATCAATTACCTGGATTGCCTGGATTACAAAAATATATGATTATCAGTTACATATGAAAGCAGATTTCCCTAATCTAATCATTTGCTGAACACATTGCATATACTGTATATACTGTCTGTCAGCTAGTGGTTATACCTAGATCATGGCTTAAAACATGATCTTGGTATTGTTTTTTAAAGCTGGTGATCAGCTGTCTAGTAAGATTTACTTTTATGGTACCGAAAAGGGCCGCACTCCTCCCACCACTCACAGTGGTTCCAGAGCTCTCCTGTTTCTCTGAGGAGCCCATGACTGTGGTAAACGGCCAGTACAGCTTCACACAGAGGGGATGGAGGAACATCCATTCCCCCATCTTCTCTGTAATTAATAAAGCAAGATGTAATGATGATTTTTTACTTCTTGTTTCAGAGCTGTTGCTCCCTGCCAGCAAGCTGGAAAGCAGTTAACTGAGCACAGTCTGTGCTTGTTTAGCTGCTTTGGGGAGCAGGAGAGACACTGGGGGTCTAAAAGACCCCTGATGTCTCCATAAAGAGTGCCTGTCACCTTCCCAAAACTATCACATAGGGGGCTTGCTAGTCCCTTTTGATAGCAATACAACTAAATCAAAAAAAGGTAAAAAAGAATAAATTTTGATAAGATAAAAATCCATAGGAATGTCAGAGTGAGAACAATGATTCTACAGCCATCATTCATGATTAACTCTACACTGGTAACCTTTAAAGGCTTTGGGGGTTCTAAGTAAAATTACAGCAAAAAATGCTGATTTTAACATGTGTGTGAAAATGTAAAAGTGTCCCAGACAGCAAGTGGTTAATTGGTTAATCAACACTGTTTATATTACAGGTGGAGAACTCTATTAATCAATCCTTCATATGCCTCCACTTGGAAATGATGATGATAATTAGAGATGAGCAAAGTATTCAAAAATTCGATTCGACTGATTCGGCGAATTCGTGGACAATATTCGATTCGAGTCGAATATATTCGCTGTGAATTTAACTTAAAAAAGGGTGTTTCTAGGCTTCAGAGAGACTTAATATTAGTGCAGAACACTGTACCTTTAATTTAAATGCCCTTGGAGTCTGCTGGGGAAGAGAAATAATACTGTCAGTCAGTATGACATGCAGATGAGTGCCGTCGATCTTAGAATCACCGCACACTTCACTCATTTGGCCAGTCACGGGGCCAAAACCAGTGTTTGGAGCCACAGTGTGGCGGTGGAGGCAGCAGCAATGGGAGGCCATACAGCAACCTATGACAAAATGGAAACCAGCAGGAGTGTGAGGAGACCTCAAAGTGGCACATGGCAGAGTGGGAGCAATGGGAGGCGGTACAGGGACCCATGTCACACTGTGGACCCAGCAGCAGCGTGACGAGGCGGTACGGGGGCCCATGGCAGATTTGGGGCCTGGCAGCACCTATGGGAGGCCTGTAATCTGCCAGCACCCTATGACAAAAAATGGAACACACCAGCAGTGTGTGAGGAGACCTGAAAGTGGCACATGGCAGAGTGTGGCGATGGAGACAGCAGCAATGGGAGGCCGTACAGGGACCCATGAGAGACTCTGGACCTGGCAGCAGCATGAGGAGGCGGTATAGGGGCCCATGGCAGATTAGGGGCCTGGCAGCAGCTATGGGAGGCCCGTAATCTGCCAGCACCCTATGTCAAAAAATTCAACACACCAGCAGTGTGTGAGGAGACCTGAAAGTGGCACATGTTTGGGGCATGATTCATGGCGGATTTAGTCAGTTGTGTCAGGAACTGGTGGTTTGAAATCCAGACTAATCCACGCCTGATTCATTTTCACAAACGTCAGTCTCTCCACACTTTGGGTGGACAGTCGTGTCCTCCGCGGAGTTGCAATACCTCCTGCCGCACTAAACACGCGCTCCGATGCCACGCTACTGGCCGGGCATGACAGCCTTTCAAGGGCAAATTCAGCTAGTTGGGGCCAAAGGTCAAGTTTCGTTGCCCAGTAGTCAAGGGGATTGTCTACCTCGGTTGGCAGGGTGCTGTCCAAGTAGGCCTAAGCCTGTTGTTTGAGGTCCTGCTCCAGGTCCACCTGATGCTGCTGCTGCTGCGGCTGGTTATTAGTTTCCTCACTGCGCTGGTGAAGAAAGCTACTCATCATCGACTGCAGACTGAGGCAGCTGCTGCTGGTGGAGCTGCCACTGCTCCTACCACCCCACCCCTCCCCTGCTGCCATGGCAGCGGAACGCGAGCGCACAGGGCCCACAGTGTCTGAGGATGGACGTTGGCGCAGACAGGCAGAGACCAGCTGACTACATAGGTGGTTTTTATAGTACGTTATTTTGGCCTCCCTCTCAGCAGGTGTGAAAAAGGCCACCATTTTGGAACGGTAGCGAGGGTCCAACAAGGTGGACAGCCAAAAGTCATCCCTCTGTCTGATGGTTATTATTCGGCTGTCGGTACGCAAGCAAGCGAGCATGCTATGGGCCATTTGTGCCAAGGAATGCGAGGGACTCCCTGCCTCCATCTCCACAGCATACTGCCACGGTGCGTCTGGGTCCTCTGTCTCCTCTTCCTCCTCCTCTACCAGATGCTCCTGCTCCTCCACTCCTGTCCGCTGAGTGGAAAAACCACCCATTTCACTCAATAATTCCTGAGCACCAATGTCCTCCTCTACCTCCTCCTCTTCTTCCTGTCCTGCCCCCACAGGGGTCATGTGGCGTTGAGATCTGTGCGCCACGTCTACCGCACCCTGACCAGCCATTATTAACAGCATTTGTTCCAGGACGTGCAACAGAGGAATGACGTCGTTCATCCCCATAGTCCTGCCGACTCACGAATAGCGTGGCCTCCTCAAAGGGCCTGAGCAAGCGCAGGTGTCACGCATGAGCTGCCAATGGCTGACATCTAAGTTACACAGGGAGTACCTTTATCCGCTTTTAACATCAGGAAATCTGTGATGGCCTTTTGCTGTTCGTAAAGGCGGTCTAACATATGTAGGGTTGAATTCCACCTTGTTGCAACGTCACAGCATGAGGAGTCGGTATGGGGGGCCCATGGCAGATTACGGGCCTGGCAGCAGCAATGGGAGGCCCGTAATCTGCCAGCACCCTATGTCAAAAAATTCAACACACCAGCAGTGTGTGAGGAGACCTGAAAGTGGCACATGGCAGAGTGTGGCGATGGAGACAGCAGCAATGGGAGGCCGTACAGGGACCCATGAGAGACTCTGGACCTGGCAGCAGCATGAGGAGGCGGTATAGGGGCCCATGGCAGATTAGGGGCCTGGCAGCAGCTATAGGAGGCCCGTAATCTGCCAGCACCCTATGTCAAAAAATTCAACACACCAGCAGTGTGAGGAGACCTGAAAGTGGCACATGGCATGAGACACTGTGGACCTGGCAGACAGGCATGCATGAGGAGGCGGTATAGGGGCCCATGGCAGATTAGGGGCCTGGCAGCAGCTATGGGAGGCCCGTAATCTGCCAGCACCCTATGTCAAAAAATTCAACACACCAGCAGTGTGTGAGGAGACCTGAAAGTGGCACATGGCAGAGTGTGGCGATGGAGACAGCAGCAATGGGAGGCCGTACAGGGACCCATGACAGACTCTGGACTGGGCAGCAGCATGAGGAGGCGGTATAGGGGCCCATGGCAGATTAGGGGCCTGGCAGCAGCTATGGGAGGCCCGTAATCTGCCAGCACCCTATGTCAAAAAATTCAACACACCAGCAGTGTGTGAGGAGACCTGAAAGTGGCACATGGCAGAGTGTGGCGATGGAGACAGCACAATGGGAGGCCGTACAGGGACCCATGACAGACTCTGGACTTGGCAGCAGCATGAGGAGGCGGTATAGGGGCCCATGGCAGATTAGGGGCCTGGCAGCAGCAATGGTAGGCCGTACAGGACCCATCGAGATTTATGGAGACTCTTGCCCTGCAGCAGCATGAGGAGGCGGTATATAGGGGCCCCATGGCAGATTAGGGGCCGGGTCAGCAGCTATGGGAGGCCCGTAATGCCAGATCACCCTAAGCAAAAAAATTCAACAACACAGCACAGTGTGCGGAGACCTGAAAGTGGCACATGGCAGAGAGACTGTGGACCTGGCAGCAGCATGAGGAGGGCGGTATAGGGGCCCATGGCAGATTAGGGGCCTGGCGC